TCTGCGGGTGCGAGCTGATCGGTGGTCGGCAGGTAACCGATGACCCTTCCCCCACCACCCCCCTCACAGCCCTCATCCCCCTCCTCCTAGACCTCACATCCGCCCGCATCTCCCTCGACAACACCTGGCTCCCAACCTCAGACTGCTTCGACCTAATCGGCCAATTCCTCCTCCACGCCGTCCTAGAAGCCTACCTCATCCGCGGCGCACACTCCCCATCCCAACTCTCCACCACCTTCGCAATCGGCTGCCCCGGCACCCCCCGCTGGGCCGAAGAACCATCTTCCCTCTCAACCATGCGCTCCCTCTTCTGCCAACCCGGCGCCCACCCGCGCTCTGAAATCCCGGCCTGGTCCTCCGCAAGACGCAACTCTCTCGCCGCTCTGCTGCCGGCCAGTCAGACGGAGTCGTATGCACAGGCTATGCAGCGTGCTTGGCTTGCTCATCCCTATGCCCCCTTTGAACAGCGCGTCTTGTCGTTTTTGCAGCATTTGCACGAGGGTGTGGAGAAGCCGGATTTGGCGCAGGTCGAGGAGGGGAGGATTAGTATTGACGGGAGGGAGTTTTCAGAGGCAGAGTCTAGGGCGGCTATGCATAGGATGGGTTTGTGAGACTTCTTCCCGGGGTCGAGGGGGGAGTATCATTTTGGTTTGATTGCATCGGGCGGCGTTTTTTTTTTTTTTTTTTTTTTTTTTACTGATGGATTCGTGTGCTTTTATTTTATTTCTGGATCTTCCCCCGGTCCCCTATTCTCTCTTTTTCTTGTATGATTGTATAAAATCTTGATCATGGTTGTGGACTATTACACTTGTAAACGTTCCATGTTGTAATCTTTTCTAAAAATACCCACCATGTAAAATAGTGCCAGTGTCAGTCTGGGACATTTGAGTCATACTTCATAACTATACCCAAAGTCTCACCCCCTTTTCCTCCAGTCTACACACACCCCCAAACCAACCCCCTCAAAACCCAAACTTACTCTTCACCATGCTCGTAACCAACCCGCGCTTCTGCTTCTGCACATACTTATTCACATCATCCGCCCAACCCGCACTATTTGCTTGTAAACTTTCCATGCTATCCCCAACCTGCGTCAGCTTTTCCGTCCTCTCATTGAACTGCCGAGTCGCCCACGCGCCCCAGCCTTCTTGCGTTTGCGGCGCGGTAGGGTACGAGGGGTATGCGTTGCTCGATGAGGCGTGGGGGTTCGCGGATCTGGCAGCCGCGCGGCGGGCGAGTTCGGCTTCATTCCGCGACTGGGCTTGCTGTCGTTTAGAAAGGGGGCGGTCGGGGCCGCCGACTGTTTGCCATGGGTGGTCAGTGGATGAGTTGTGGGGGGTTAGGATAGTAAATGGACAATCTCGAAGAAATGCGGAGGAAAGAGGGGGAGAGCTTACTGAGAAGGTCCATATCTGCTGGAGTTACGTATTGGGTTCCAGATATCCATTGAATGTTACTGATCGTGGGGCGTGGAGGAATCAGGAGAGACGGATTGAGGAGCATGTCATGTGTCGGGTCACTGTGGTATGGTTAGATCATGCGTATGCGTTGACGGTGCCTGAAACCTACTATTGCACGCCTGTACCGAACACATTGATCAAAGCCAGTTCAGCTGGGCCTTTCCAGCCGAAGATGTCGCCAGTGCTTGTAATCACCGCTTCGGAGAATCGCCGTACGTCGAGGATGTCGCTGACTTTGATGGATCCAATCTCCTTGAGAGCTGGAATGGAATACGCGCGCGCACACCCATCGCCGTACAGACCAAGAAGTGCATAGCCCATATCGTCATATCGCACGACAGTCGCTGAATCACATAAAAATTGGTCCCAAGTCTTGTGCGCACCTTTGCTGTTGGCTGGCCGGAACAATCTGGCCCCTGACGCGGTCACTGCCAGCAACACACCATTGATCTTGGATCCGTTACGTAGCCCTGCCACGGCGGATTGTGTGGCATATGCTGGATGACCAGTCTCCGCGTAGATGGGATTGATGCTGATGACCTGATCGTCGAGCTTGCTTACACCTGCAAAGGAGACCCCAAAACGACCACTAGACTCTGGCAGCAGCTTGAAAGTCGCAAGGTGCCCGAGATTTGTTCCAACATGACATAAAATGCTGGAGTACTGTTCATCCTCGAGCGTCATGACACTGAACTCGATGCAGGTTGGCCATTCTGGCTTCGTTGCACCAGTATTCGCACTGCGTCGGAAACTACCTCTTTTATCAGACTTCGCAAAATCCGCGATAGCGCTCTTGTATATAATTGCTGGACCTCTTAGATCGATGATAGTCAAGCTGCCGCCTTCAAAACCGGCCGCCACAAACCCAACATCCGAGTGCTTGAGCGCGGTGACTGGTCCATTGCCTTCGTCTAGCAGTGTAAGGGGCAACATGCCCTCCTTCAAAGCAGCTTCAGCTCTGTCGGTGATGTTGGTGAGTGCTTGGGGTTGGTTCTCGCCAGGTGAAATGTCTTGTCCAGGCTGTTTGTTCACGTTCCACCGGAAAACCGCAACTTCACCGGATTGAAGTCCTACAGATAACTCAGACGCAGCACCAGCGAAAGATGTCTTGGTGATCTGAATCCCTTCTCGCCTACCTACAGCTCGTGCTACGTCAACCTGAAGCAGTGTAGGATTCTCGATTTCGTCTGCGTGTCCAGCATCCCATAGCCGCACTGTGCCATCTGCGTGTGCCGTCTGCACAACGTTACGGTGCTCGAATCTCTTGAGAGGGTAAATCGCTTCAGCGCCGCCGGTAAGAAATTGCGGACCGTGTTGTCGCTTTTCCGTCATACCTAGCCACTTTGTGCGCTCCACAGGGGCAAGACTTGCATGTTGTATGTAAGGATGGACTAGGGTCATGGATAAATGTAGCTGGTTAGTAGGAGTGATTGGTATGCCACTCGGGAAGGATAGTGTGATGAGTTCACCAGACGCCAGTAGCGAAATGATAGCTATTGGGTCGTGACAACCAGCGTAGTGTGGTGAAGATCGAGGTATCAAGAACAGATCTATGACTTCAGTACCAGGTGGACAGGGCAGTATCCGTTGTCTTTTGGGATTTTCAAAGTGGTCAGAAAGCACTTGCCAAGAGGACGTGTTGTAGATGGGCGTACGCCCGAGCTCGAAGAGGGTCAGGCTTTTGGGTGAAATATTGGACGGCTGACCGCCAGCTATCAGAATTGCAGTGTCGTCAGGATCCTGGTTTGCACACCAGGCAATCTTGAATATCGGTGACTTGACCGAAAATGAGCCTTCGACGGCGCCTGGACTAAAGCTTCCAGGACCAGGTTTGTTGACGTTAGTATCCTGCAACGTCCTTGCTTGAACGATTCTGCCATCCTTGGTGTCCCAGATGACTATACTTCCATCTTCGTGTCCAGTGAGGACAAAGGTGCCAGTCGGATGCCATACAGCCTGAGTCAGCGGAGGCTCCCGTTCTGTCATCGCAGCGCCGGGGTCTGAGTCGCCGCCGGGGGCTCCCCTGGGAACGACGTAATTGAAGAAAAGCAGTGCTTTGTTTTGCTTGAAGGAGAAGAGCACGGCGCCAGAATTGTATCCAATCAGTAGAGATCCAATGTCACGTGGATGAAATGACAAGGTGACGACGGTGGTCAGTCGTGATCGAGGGTACTTTTCCCGCCATAGATTTGGAATCTTGAACGGCGTAAGTGCCTCTCTGTCCAAGTCATATGCGAAAACCTCGCCATGCTGGGTTCCTAGAAGCGCATAATCGATCGTGGGGTCCGAATGAAGTGCTGTGATCTTGGCTGGCGGGGAATGTGCGTTGATGAGCTTTTTGGTTTCCAAGGAGAAGACGCTTAGATCGTTCCGCGAGTCTACGCAAAGCAGCTTCTCCGCGCAAAACTGCAGTATCTTGACTGATGCAGGGTGCGGAAGTCGTAGCACCACTTCGACTCTGCTCTGTCCGAAGACGTAGATTTGACCAGGGCCATACTTGCTTTCGCTCGTACCGATAGCAATCAGAGCCTGTACTGGGTCATATGCAACCTGGGTGATTTTGGAGTTGATGCCATAGTTGCGAATCTTCACATAGAGTTAGCTTAGTAGCCTCTATAAATACGCGATGCGGGCGGCGGCTGATGGGGGTTAGGTGGGGGTTGCGCAACAACATACATGATCGAGTACGAAGAGATCAGGGGCAATACCCGCCGAAAGGTCGTGGCTTATGCCGGCTTGTTTACCACGCAGCAAATGGGCCATTGTGTGTGTAGCATGGCTTGGTTCCTACGACTCGCGTAAGCATGTCACGATTCTCTTTCTTGGGCTGTTGGGTTTCACAGGGCACGCGTTCGCCGACGTCACAGCCAGGGTCCAAGCGCTAGCAAGTCTACTAGTTATCTCGGCTAGTTTGAGGATCACGTTACTTGTCTTGTGCTATGAAAATAGCCAGGATGTAGCAGTGGCAAATCACATGATACTCAAACTACCCGAGCGCATGAGATAGGGCCTAGGCGGATATTTCGAAAGCTATGTTACTCCTACAACACCATCATGGGCTGTTCCGTCGAACAGGGATATGGCTACAGTTGGTCAAGGAATACATTTTCGAATTGTATAATGTTACTATTACATCATCGCAAAGCGAACGACCACCATCTCTCGCTACTCGGACAGAAGAGAAGTACTGCAGTGCTAATACTGCCACCCAATACAAGCAAAGGATAAACAAACCCGGGTGGCTGTGACCATACTTCATAAAGGTAGCACCGTTAAAACGCCCAAAAGTTCAACGTCTAAAATCCATAAAACGCATCCTGGATGTGCCACGAGAAGCGTCTGATATAAGATCAGACATGACAGATCATCACGTCCCATTTTGACTTCCATAAACGCCATTCGGAGGCTGAGGTGTCCCCGATCCTTGTCTACTACTGAAGCTGCTTTGAGCCGCTAGACGGGCTTGCGATTGAGCTACCGCCTGTGCTTGCTGCCTCTCCATCATCACCTGCTGGGGATTAGCAGCCCCGCTAGCAAATGGTGTGGAAGGGGCTGGGGCTTGCGGGGTGCCGTATTGTGATGGGCCGTAATACGTACTACGCATCTGGCCACCTGATACCGGCGTGCCATATGCGGTGCGCGCGCCAAAGGCCGATTGCGAGGGCGCAGGGGCAGCCTTCAACGGTGATGCAGTGCGTGGCTGTGATACTTGAGCGCCGTTGTACATGGGGGCAACGTTTTGTGACCTCGGCGGGTAGAAGCCGTTCTGACCCTGCTGGCCTGTGTACCGATTCTGTGGCTGCGTCTGCGGCGTAGAGCTGTAGAATTGCGAGCCGGTGGCGCCTGTATAGCTGCTAGGTTGGGCAGACCGTTGAGAATAGTATTTGCCAGATGCGAGAGTACCATAGCTTGGTCTTGATTGCTGGTTGTACGATGGAGTCGCTGCATAGCCTGGCCGTGGCGTAGATCCGTAGTTGGCTTGAAAGGCCTGCGATGGCCCAGAGGGGGAACGTTGGAGATGCATCGAAGACGAACGATGGAGCGATTGCTGTTGCGAGTATGCAGGGCGGGAGCTCGACTGATGTGTTGAAGCCGCAGGCCGACTGTACTGCGGAGTTTGTGTGTATTGGACGTGCGTGTGTGCCCCTGAAGACGCCCGAGTGAGTGTAGCAGGCGTAGGAGCAACGGCGGGGGGCGCTTTGGCCAATCTTGAGAGCTGGTCCTCCTCCATTACTCCCTTGTATTCCTTTGTATCGAATAAGATTGTGCGACTGATGTTTAGCTCATCCATCTGATCTCCATTCAACTTGGCGACAGCATAAGGCGGAAGCTGAGAGATTAGGAGCGTCAGCTGTGACTTCAAGATCTGGTAGACGTCGATTTCCTCAGAAGATGGCGTCAACGGGCTTCCGGCTAGAGTGGCGAGCGAAGCATTCTGTACCATAGGTGTGCGGGGATTGGTAGTGAGTGAAAGATTTCGTATCCTTTGGTACGAGGCCAGCGTCTCAAGAAGCTCGGAAATTTCCTTCAGCACCTCATCCGTGTCTTTCTCTTCCTCGCTCTTTTCCTTGTCTGGGAATATATCGCTATTCATGGGAACAAACTTCTCCACGGCTTCTTTGAAACTCTCCTCCTCATCTACCGTGCCGTTGGCTTCAATGTCAGATATTGCGTCTGCATCTAACAGCGCTGGGTCGATGGGAAACGTCTCGTTGAAACGTTTTTCGCCCACTTTTTGCCACCAAATCATGTTCTTCGTCTGTTCAGGAATGATCGCAGACGCATCATCACGGGTGGGCGCAAAGCTAGAGTAAACACTCCGGAAAAGTGCCTCTTCCTTTGCTTGCTGAACAGCTACTAGAATTGCCTCTGATGGAGGCTGCTGCGCTTCGCCCATGCTCAATGCTCTTTGCCTATTCTTTTGCTTCGCTGTGGGGGATGTCTGATCTTTTGGCATGTCGACACCTCCATAACCAAGCCAGGACCCTGCGGACAGTGCCTGGTGCGAGTAGGACTGCGATCCCTTGCGGCGAGGCTTGGGCGTTTCTTGATGCGCAAAAGTGATAGTGCTGTTGCCCTTGGCTGTGGAGGGGCGCGCAGACTTCGGCGGGCTGATTTGTGCCAAGTGGGCAGGTGCACGAAACACTTCACCGATCGTCGTTTTCTTTGCCTTCTGGTCTGCTGGATCGGGGAGTGGGAAGACCTCGGTCGTGGAGAGGATGTTGGGTAAGTTGTTCTCGCGCAGAGGCAATGTCACTCGAACAGCGGTATCTAGCGTGGCAATGGGCTCAGAGGGCCCTACTTTTTGTGGCTGTTGTAGGCTCGAGAACAGCTGCTTCGGTGGTGCACTTCCATAAAGCGTGAGCACTGTTCGACTCGGAAGCGCTTGTGGCTCTTCCTCTTTGATTGGCACAGGGCTGCTCTCCTTTGTGACTTGTTGAACATGATCCTTGACATCTGTCCCGGCTTGTAGCAGATGGGCTCTGCGCGCCTCTTCTCTATCGACTAGATTCCTGACGACGGCTCGGAAGGCAAGCACCTTGGCTTGTAGCGCTGCCTCGGTAGAACCGCCCTGTGTTGTTGTCGCATCGCTTCCACCGCTCGAAGCAAGTATTTCCGAGCTGGCAGTTTCTACGTCCTTTTCGAATGACTGGAGCGAGTCGTAGCTTCCCTCCTGGACCAAGCTGGCGATGGTCGTGGAGCCGGTCGGGGGCGTCAGTTTGGTGCGTTTGGAGTCTGCCTCTCCAGACGAGGTTCGCGTTATCGAAGAGGATAGGGGATGAGACAAGATCGGGGGTTGGGTGTCGTAGCTACATCATGTAAGCGGTGGATATAAGGATGCACTCTGTGTGGGCATGGCAAGATCAGCCAGTACAGGTTTGGGTGGGCAGGAGTCTGGTTGACGGTGTTGTCGCACAGACTTGTGGACGTCTGGCGCGGGTCGTGGTAAAAAGACAAGCTATGTTCCGGGCGCCATACCTCTTCACGACTGTGGTGATATCCTGCAAAACCGCCTGCAGGGATTGCGTGTTCGCATTCGCAGCCTGTGCTTGCGCGGGGACGGATGCGCCGTTGGCGACAATGGCATGACTGCCCGTGAGTTTTCGCTTTGCGAGCGACGGCGACGTGGGCGCGGGCGGTGGCGAGGGGGCAGCTAGGGTGCCGTTGGCGGTGGCCATGGCGACGACCTGGTGCTGTTCGCGATGCGCGACTGATGGCGTTAGGGTGTAGAACGCGCTTCAGCAGACAGGCGGAAGGAATGTCGTTGGAGGGATCCTCCCACAAGCAATGCCACCTTTCAGCAGTACCCAGGGGCTGTGGTCGCTGCGACAGCCAGAGTCGCGTCAAAGAATCGGCCTCGACTGATTGAGACGCGCACGACTCTGGGGGCGAAGTGGGCGCGTTGTGGGAGGTTGTCCAAAGTTGACCTGTCCGTTGGATGTTGGATTCCGCAGTGGAGGGAACGCGAGACGCAGTGCCAAGGCGACACCGCAAAGTTCCCAAACTGCCCACCCGGCAAGCCCGTGGACGGGTTCTGAGACGGGTCCGTCAGACGCAAGGGCTCTTTTTTTTAAAAAAAAAATTGTTTCACGACTCGGCCTTGACTAGATGGCGAGCTGTTCACTCTTTGCTGAGGACACTTTTCCGTATTTCTCCATGGCCGAGAGCCGCTTCTGTTCGTCCATGGACGCATGGATGGGAGCTCGCTCCGAAAGGGGTCCTAGCGCGGTTCACCGTGAACGGGACAAAGGAACGGCATGGCCTGCGTGCCTTACTGACTGCACATGTGCGCATCGACGACCAAATTTCACGCTTCGTCCTTTCACTGTGTCGCAACTGCCTTCTTCTTCTTCTTCTCCTCCTCCTCCTCCTCCCCACTCGTTTTGTGTCTAGGGCCATTCCGTCAAATGAATGCCCTTGTTCCTCCCCCTGGCAGCTCCAGGTAGTACATACCGCCGTGCCCGCTGCTTCACGCGTCTGGCAAACAACTTTGTAAGTCTGCATCTGCGTCTACGTCTGCGACCACGCTTCTCACCTTCAACAAGCGCCATACATTGTACACGTCGATTCATAGGCAGAATCCTTCCATTTCCGTTGCATCGCCAGCATGCCTCGTCCTCTCTTATTCTGCGAATGCCCGCTGTGGCATCTTCGCTATCCACGCCACCATACGCAATCCCCGCCATGAGGGGCTACATGCATCGCGAAAATGCTACTCTACGCAACCATCAGGTTCTAATGAGTTTCCAGAAAGTACCATGGACGCGTACATCGCAGGTTTGAGTGGAGATAGTGTCGAGGATACAGAACCGCAAGCTCAGGTCCACTTCACCACCTACGCAAGATTCCGCAAGCAAGTCTCTCGTGCCCTTCGGAAAGCGCGGCGTCAGAGTCGACCTGCAACTGTCCTAGCCGCATTGGATAGCACGACCAAAGCCCTGTACATGATCGATCCGCCCGGAAAGAAGGACTTGTCCTACTCCAGCCTTCATCGACCTAGTCCCCGCAAATGGGACAGAGAGGAGCAACGAGAAGAATCCGAAAACCAGCTTCGCGAACCTGTTTCACTGTATTCCATCCTTGCGCGATACATCAGACACCATGCGTCGGTACCACGCCTCGAAGAGAAGTTTGAGTACACGTCGTTGGAACTAGATCTACTCAGGTCCCGAGGCTATAGCCCGGAAAGTGTAAGAAATTGGGCGCTGTGTCTAGTCGAACCCAGATCTCGGGGGGCCTCCAAGATCTTCGAAGCTAGCGAAGAAATGCCGCCCCTCTTCATACTCCTTTTGTTTCTACGTCGAAAGATCATCCGTGTGTCTGCTCTGAGTGTTATCATGACGCATATTGAGTATCGGTTAAAAGTGGAGCCAATCGTCTGGGATGTCTTCAAGATCTTGGTGATTCGTCTACTGCGGCACGCACGCCTATCATGGCCAGAATCAATGCCCTGGATCGCGTCACTATACACCGCAGAGGCAACACGGCTGCATAATGAGCAGTTCGCATTGACTTCGCAATCGCCTCGTCTTATCCTCGATCTTACCAGGTTCTGCAATACTATTTTGATGCTGCTCTCCATACCCACCAGTAGCCATCCGATTCATTGCGCAAAGCTCCAGGAAAAGGCGCAATTTGAGGTTCTACAATGCATGGCGAGCTGTTCACCAGCGATTGTGGTGACCAGGCTAGGTTTCCAAGCAGTGGCAAGGAACCAATTGGCGCATCCAAAGACCCAGCAGGAGAGAGAATGGGCCGAGCTCAAGGGCTCCTCGTGGCCTCCTTGGAAAGAAAACCGCACAGCCATGGATGAAGAAAAGGGTTACGAGTTTGGCGCTTCTAGAGCTTCCAAGATCCTCCACCGCATGTTTGAAGCTGGTTACGGCGGAGGCTACTTGGAAGACCTTGCACAAATGTATGCGGGCTGGGATACGGATTCTAGTCCCACCATACAGACTCGGACATTGGGGCCTGGTTTCCGCACGCAATCAAGGGACTTTCCACACCTACGCGCACTTCTTTGGGCCGGCCGCATTCGCACCACACGAACAAGGCGGGAAGCTTGGGCTTGCTTTCTTTCCCACGAGCTAAGCAATGACCAAGGCCACCAGGAACTGTATCATGCCATGTTCGAGAAGTTGCATCATGCTACTGCGGAGCGCGTGCCTCATCGTGACTTCAATTCAGACTCAGAATCAAAGGATGAGGAGGATGAGACCACGAATCTGTTGCCTGGAGATGTCCTAGAAGTTCTGCCTGATCCTGTATCGCCATTGCATTATGTCTTCCTCAGCGAACCAGTACCGACGTACAAAGAGCTCTTGCGCCGTATGCAAGCATCCACTGTGCGACCGTCACGTCGTCTTCTTGCATTTCTGTTGGAATCATGTCCCGATTTCGAAACTGGTCTTGACATCATAGGCATGGCCCAGGATGGACCTGATGGGGCACTTAATCGCCTTGCTGCCGGATTTCACCTCGATGACAAGCTCGGTCAGTCGATGCCTGGCTACCTCTTCGCGGCTTTCATTCGGCTGCTGTGTCGCTTTGGTCGCTACGAACGAACCCATGCAGCGCAGCTAACTTTGCATCCACCCCGGGAACATCAATATCGGTTCTCATTGGACCGTCAGTACCTACTTGAATACGCATATGCACTACTTATACACTACAAACCAAGGTATCGCCCCTCGTGGACAGCCTACATGCAAAAACTTGTGCAACACAAAAGCGGCCAGCTTGCTGGCAATGTCAGCCGTTACAAGATCGTTTGCGAGGTCATCGAACGAATGGAGCAGATCGATCTCGACATTGATGACGAGTCATTCCTACTGGCCTGTACGGCAACAATATACGCAGTCCAAAGCATTGAGCAAGGTCTTGCCTCGCGCGAGGAAGAGCAATACCTTTTCACGACTGGCTCAGCTCGTCTTCGCACCTTGTTCACTGAGTTGGTCTCCACCAGCCTAGATACCCAACCTGTCCGAGGCAGCTCGCTTCCGATCCCAGCACATGTCCCTGGGCCTGCCCAACTTCACGCTTACGTTCGCGCATTGGGCCTTCTTCGAGATTACGAGGGTCTCTATTCTTTTTCAACATGGCTTGCCAGGCACAATGCTGAGGTCACAGCTCGCGCCGAGGCTCAACACTCGGGTAGAAAAATGCTGTTCAGGACACTTGTGGCGTTACGCGTTGCTGTAGACGGGACGGAACAACGACCAGGAGCTCCAGCGGATATTTCGCATCTCATCAGAGCGCAAATTGAACTCGTCAAGGAGTGGGGTGGGTGGCCAGCGCGCGAGTATGTTGACATGTACAATCAGGGGCATTTAAAGTCTACGATGCCGTTGATTGGTGGACGATGATTACGTTGGTAGAAGGCGAGTATTATTGAGTCGATGACAAGTATAACATTTATGGCATTACTCATGCGGTCGGGTAGTTTGAGTATCATGTGATTTGCCACTGCTACATCCTGGCTGTTTTGATGGCACAAGATAAGTAACGTGATCCTCACACTACCCGAGATTACTAGTACGCCCCAACCATACTCAACTCACGGCATTCAAATGATGTCATGACGCATATGGGGTTATCTGTTGAGGAAATCATGGGGATTGTAAAAGATGATCATTACCACGATTGCTAGAGTACAGATATTGACATCCAGCTCGTGTGAATTGCGATCTCACTCCTCTTCATCGCCTAATTGCAAGTAGTAAGATGCAAGATCCGTATCCCATGGAGGCTTCGTGGCACCCTCTTCCTGGTTATCAATGGGTGCAATATTCCTCTGAGCCAACAGCGCATGAACCAAGTCATTCGCAAATTCTGGGGAAGATTCCATTACCAAATCTCCCTTTTGCCGCAGCGGATATCCACACCAGACCCAGATATCGACAAACAATTTCCGCAATGGCGAATTGGTGGTAGTCCCCTTGTAGGCGATGCGGATGGTGTCGTAGCTGGGAATACCGGTCCTGACGGGCGCAAGGGTCAGCAGAAGCTCCATGATGACATTTTGATATGTCAAGTCCATGAGTTTTTCCCCGAGGACATAACATTTGACTAAGCATCGGCATGAAATGTCCTCTACCCTGATCTCCACATTGCCCTTTTCGGGTTCCGCATCGTCCTCGTCGTTGTCCTCGCGCTTCGACTTCACGGCGACAGAACCGGTATACAGCCACTGGACGTACAGGGCGAAAATTTCCGGATCGTCTTCGGATAGGTCAATGGGCTTCTTGCGCTGCGCCGTCCACCGTGGCTTTGTTGCCGTTTGGAAGAATCGTGAGGTCTGGCAGAGAACGCTCTTGTGGACCTGGAACATCTTCTCAGGATAATACTCGCTGGTGTTGGTGCCATTGCTTTCAAGGTCTAGAAAGAGGTCCTCAATGGGTGGCTCTTCGTACACATAGTCGGAGTCGGAGTCGCTGTTGTATTCGGAATCTGTATGATACATGTAATATACGTCGTCCGGGGTGCGGCGATTTGCCGGGGGCGCCTCCTCTTTAATGATGATTTCAGTGTTTGTTGGGTCCCCTTCGATTGGGCCCTCTTCAATTTCCAACATGGACCGGCCGCCAGGTTCAGTGGCTGTTGCCTGGACTTCGATCTCCTTGTCATTGCCTCCAGTCTCAACGTCCGTCCCACTACTCTCAATAGCCTCTGTAATTTCTTGCTGACCGTCATCTGAATCTGACTCTTCCACACCATCTTCAGTGCTCGGAGCCAAATCGCCACCCAACTTAATAGCAACCAACTCGCTGCATATACTATGAAAAGAGTCAATGATCGTCCAACAGATTGAAGATCCGAGAGCTTGCTTACTCGACTAGATCCACCGAGTGTGCAAAGTCGACGGTCGGTGGCTTCACACGCTTTGCTGCTGGCGCCTCTTGGCGCTTCATGGTGGGCATATCTACCTTTTACTCTCCACACTAGCTCGGATGATTTTGTCGTGAGGTGATGCTCAAAGTGTATCAGTGGTCAAGACAAGAATGTGGTTTCCCTGGTACCGGTAGGTAGCCTCGAAGCACAGGTCAACCACGGTAGATACCCAGTCACTAGGACAGGGGTCCCCAAAGACACACCATCTACCAATCCACCAGCTACTTATTTGCAAAAGGGTACGCAGCAACTTGAAAGACCTATTCCAACTGGTGACAATTCAAGTCACATGAGTTCCTTACTGGCAATATCGTGGGCCGTCGCTTACCAGTGCATTGAGTTAATCGCGAGAAGAGCTTGTTCTCACCAATCCGTGACTACATATCTCAGGCATACAGTGCATGATATCCTTCGTCCTTTGAGCATCAATTATCTTAACTAGCCGTAGCAATATATATACTTGAACTTAGATTCTGTCCTTCTTCAGGTACATCATGTTCACTTCTCTGACTCACAGCCTCCTCTTGGTCCCTTGCTGTTCACCGTTCACTTTCACCGTGAAGCGGCAATTTGCAGCACAATAGCAGCGATTGGCACTACCGTCGCGATTTTTGCAGACATAACCAACCTCCCAACCTTGCTTAACCTACCGACCTTATCCAACTTTCTCATCCTCACTCTTATTTCATTAACCCAAGATTCATCTCCCATTCAACAATCATGTCAGCAGAATACGAACGTGCCGTGAAGCATCGCGGACATTTCCATATACATACCAGCACGTGTTGCCACCTTCCAGAGTGGGTTTCATGTACAATTCACTCATCGATGAGCTGTAATAACAGCGCCGTAGCCTGAGTAGTGAGATCTTCGCTGTCAAAATCAGTAACGGATTACCGGAAGAGTATCTTACGCCGTCGAGCGACGAAGGCCAGGAAGCGGACGATGACTCCACGGTCTTCTACATTTACAAGAGTGTCTTGTGCAAGACATCACGATTCTTCCAGACAGCCACAAAGGAGGAGTGGAGTGGACAAGGGCTGCGCTCCATCCATATAGCCAACGGAGGTCACTGAAGTATTCCATTCTTACCTCCAATGGCTGTACACCGACCACATTACGGTCAAGTACTACACATCCCAGGAAACCAACGAGAAGGGAGAAGAAATGACCATCGAGCAGCCCTCGCTGATGTTCCTCATTCGATGCCACCTCCTGGGCGACAAAATCATGGATGGCGCCTATCAAGCTGCAGCCATGCGCACACTGATCTGCAATTTCGACAAAGACAAGGCATTTCCTTTCGACGTGATCGTCTCCTGGATTTACCAAGTCACGCCCCCGGGCTCACCTTTGCGCAAATTGATGGTCGACTTCTGGAGCTGGGAAGTACGGCAAGCACACACAGCCTGGAACACCCACGAAATCGTCCAAGACACAAGCATGGATTTTACGCATGACTTCATCGAGAATCTGCTGAATGAGCAGCCGGTCCCCGGAGGCATGCCGCCTTGGGTCGCTGCGCCTTGGAAGTACGGCTCGATGGCGTGAAGGTTACATCGATGCATCGGACTTTTCAGAGTGCAAGATTGACGGGGGAGTGCGATTTGGCGATTGATTTGTTTGTCTAGAGGAAAGGCAGACAGACATACGTTGACTTTCTGGAAAAGGCTTGTGTCTTGAGAGAGAATGGGTTCAGGGTGAACATTTATTTGTCCCATCCTTATGGCACTCATATAGTTTTCTTGACGCAGATAGGGGTCTGAACAACATTTTTCTGGTATTCGTCTTCGCAAAAGCGCTCGCTGAGTTTGATATTGTGTGCGAGTTGTACGTAGAGGTCTTGCGTATGATTCTACATGCGCTTCCAAGTATCAGGATGATCCGTATGTGCCTTGTCGAGCACGACCTTGGTGGTGTGTAGCCATCGGACCCATTTTTTCATCGCTTCTGGGATATTCATTTCATTTGGTAGATGCATGTATTGATTGTTGAATTGAAAACTGGTATCTGAAAGTGTTTTGGGAAAACTAGGCTGCTCTACAGAGTAAGGTCTTGTGGACTGCGGATCTCAAAACTTCTCTGCTTTCATCGACGAGCGCAATGGTCACAGTCAATCAATTAGATCATCCACAGAATTTTCGCTATGACGCAGGTTAGGCCAGAGCTAACACTGTTGGAAAGAATGCAGACTCCTAGCCAAATCCAGCCTGCAACTATCCAAGGATATTTAGCATATTCTGAAGGCTCTCTCAATAACTCAATACTTGTTATTTCAGCTCGGTGTAGCCCTTCCAGACGTTTTGCGATCGATTTTACAGTCCCTGTTCATTTGGATTGTGGTACATATGCCTTACGCAAACAGAGGTGCCAATCAGGTTTAGAGTGCACATCGATAAATTGGAATGCTTCCACATTCAAACGAACAATTTCCTGTCGATGTAGTAGGTTCTTCACAACTCGCGGTATGTGCACTGTTTTCCCATGGGTATCTTATTGAATGTTTGATGGTATTCTCTCGCTCACGATGCTTTCACTGCTTGCTGCGCCTGTTGCGCCTGTTGTGCCGACTGTTGCAATTGGACGATCTGTGTTACTGGTCAGGAACATCTCTCAATATGGATTCGCAGCATCAGACCTCTGTTTTGATATTCTCGGCTTTATCTTGGATCCCCTTGATTTTCTTTTCGACATCCTGGCTACATCATGTTAACAGCACGGCCACGAGGAGAATGGAAGAAGCCTACATTTGCTTCTCAATGAATTCAAGACGTCCATTGACTGCCATGACCGCCTCTGCCTTGTCCTGCTTCAGAAGTACAGGTCCAATTTGCTTGTAAATGTTGGCATCATCGTCGAGAATATCGAATTCCTGAATGGCAATATATGAGTAAGGTTCTGTTGAAAAATGCAATTTTAATGTTACCTTTTTCACTGTGGCATTTTCTTGTTGTTGCGACTCGAGCCTCTGACGTGATTCTACTGCGGTAGACAATTCTGATATCCCGTCAAGACAAGTCCAACATCACGACATGGTCGTCTCACCTGTTTGCAGCGTCTGATAGCTGTCCGAAAGATCCTGCAGTTTCTTTTGCAAGTCTCCCATGACTTCTGTAATGCCGAGTAGCAGCTGGTAATTAAAGTTGTCGTGTAATCTGTAAGGTTGCAAGGAAGATGTCGGCGTTAGCAGAGCTCAATGTAGGCTAGCTCGAATGCGGGGCTAGATTGCTTCCTTGGCCCAAGCATCGATGTCGATATCGTGGGTGGAGGAAACACTCGCTCACCACAGTACCCTGAGACGAAAAGATAGACTCTCCCTCACTGCACAATCTATTAAAGAGAACAGTCCACGCCATACCGTCCGCGAATAGTCTCCACGAAGCCGACTCCTACGACAATACCCTCACCTGCCCCGCGCCGACCGCTCCTCTATCATCCTGTCAGGGATCACGCGTTACGCCCACTTGACGCGCTCACTCTGGGCATTCATTTTGTTGTAACCAGCTGTGGTATATAAAACCCAGCAAAAAGTGCAGACATGAGCAACGCCGACTTCCTCGGTCGTGCCATCGACACAGTCAAGAAGGCAATAGAAACAGACACAGCAGGCGAATATGAGAAGGCATACCAACTATACTATAGCGCCCGTGAGCAGACATGTGGTTCTACCTGGAAATCGTGATGCTAATCAATACTAGTTGAGCTCTTCATGCTCGCCCTTAAATGTACGCTTGAAAGCACCCAACAATCGAATAGCACTCAAGACAGCCGACTGACTGTGACTAGGGGAAAAGAACCAAAAATCCAAGGACATGATTCGTGGCAAAGTTGCCGAGTATATGGAGCGCGCCGAGAAGCTCAAGCAGCATCTGAACCAGAATGATGCCTCAAATCGGAAGAAACCTGCGGCGATGGGTTCCAACGGCAAGGCAGCAGGAGGCAGTGGCAAGGGTGGAAAGTGCGTTTGAAGACAAAGTGATATGGGAATCTATGGCAATACTAATTGTACCTAGGGACGATGACGAAGACGGCGAGGGTGACGCCGATTCTAAGAAGCTCCGCGGTGCGCTCGCTGGCGCCATTCTATCCGAGAAGCCTAATATCCGGTGGGAAGATGTCGCAGGTCTAGAAATGGCCAAGGAAGCGCTGAAAGAGGCCGTCATATTACCGATCAAGTTTCCACACCTCTTTACTGGCAAACGACAACCTTGGAAGGGCATTCTGCTCTATGGCCCACCTGGTACTGGTAAAAGTTATTTGGCAAAGGCTGTGGCAACAGAGGCAAATAGCACGTTCTTCAGTGTATCTAGTTCTGACTTGGTCAGCAAGTGGATGGGAGAGTCGGAACGGTAAGTGAAAGAGATTTCTACTTTGAGACATGAAACTAACACACGGTAGATTGGTCAAGCAACTCTTCGCCATGGCCCGCGAAAACAAGCCCTCAATCATCTTCATTGACGAAATCGACGCATTATGCGGTCCCCGAGGCGAAGGAGAATCAGAAGCATCACGGCGTATCAAGACAGAATTACTAGTGCAGATGGATGGTGTAGGCAAAGATTCAAAGGGCGTCCTTATTCTCGGCGCAACGAACATCCCATGGCAACTTGATTCTGCTATCCGACGCCGATTCCAACGGCGAGTACACATCAGTTTACCCGACACGCCTGCACGCATGCGCATGTTTGAGCTTGCAGTCGGCAACACCCCCTGCGAACTTAACCAGGCGGATTACAAGAAGCTCGCAGAGCTCAGTGAGGGCTACTCAGGTTCCGACATCTCAATCGCCGTACAAGACGCACTGATGCAACCCGTGCGGTTGATCCAAACAGCGACCCATTACAAGCCAGTACGCAGCCAACTCGCACTATTCCTCAACTTCACGCAAGCCATGCTAACACACGCGCGCTAGGTTGTAGTCGACGGCGAAACAAAATGGACACCCTGTTCCCCTGGTGACCCGCAAGCAGAAGAAAAATCCTGGACCGATCTCGACGGCGACCAGCTCCTCGAACCCCCTCTGAAGGTCAAGGACTTCATCAAGGCGATCAAGGCATCGAGACCGACGGTCAGCGGCGAAGATCTCAAGAGAAGTGCAGATTGGACCAAGGAGTTTGGAAGCGAGGGTGCATAGCCGTGACGTTCATATATGTGTAGCAAGAGTTTTTTCTCGATGGGAGACTCAGCAAACTACATATCACACGAGCTACTATGATCGCCGTAGGCTGGACGACCGAAAGCGAACCGACTCCCTGATGTATACGGGTATCTATTGGAGTGAGGTGGAGGCGCTGTTCTTTTTTGGTGTTGATATCCCCAAACTTTTCTGGCATAGCGGATTCCTTTTCCTTCTGCAGGGCGTTGTCGTCGGTACATGGGATGGATGTTTTTGTGAGCGGTCTTGTTTTCAGGAAGGGGGAGAGGAGGACGAGGACGAGGACGAAGAGGAGGGGGTGGGATTGAGGACTTCCGTTTTCAAACTTAGCCCTCTATATATACATATATTTGAAAAGAAATAAATAAAGAAGAATAAGGTTCGAACGGCATAAACAACTCAGCACAGCACGTCATGTTCTCCATCTATCTCCCTTTCTTTGTCTCTCAAACACAAAATACACATACACAGATATACACATAAATAGTAATATTCCCAACTTTCCAATGAATTCGCTAATGCATTTATTCTACATACGCTACCCTACGCCCTTTGCCTCCCATAATCATTATTCCCCGCATTCTTGATATAAAAGAAAACCCCAACATGGATCGTGTAGGCATGTAGAATTAGGCGTACGGGGTGGGGGGAATCTGAATGTCAATGAAGTCGTGCAAGTTCATGTTTCGTCGCCATGGAGGGACCTGAGCTGGCCCAGAGTAGACCAGATGCAGACTCGTCCAGAAGACCAGTCTAGGCAAGTGCAGTCCAGTTCAGTCCCGAAGAGTAGAGTGGACACATAGACAGATACGCACGTCTTGTAAACAAACAACCGCCGCGCCGCGCCGCGCCGTATCGCTCAATCTCATCTCCAGTTTCCCCGTCTCCCCCGTCATTTTGATCTTCTCCATTCAGAAACCAGTTTTTAAGACAGGCTGGCAATCGCGTAGCGAATCACATCTTGCAAAACCCCGGCGAAATCGTTGCGTGACTGCGCTCAGTCCATTCCGCTCCTAGGCAAAGTAGACTTGGGCCGTGCGTTGCTGCTCTGGCGTCAGGCTCGCAGCAGCTTGTGCGAGGTTAGTGCCTGTGGCCTGGATAAGCGCTTTGACGGATGCAACGACGCGATTTGCGGTTTGGCCCAGAAGGGTCTCGGCTTCGAGGGCCTGGACGACAAATGTGAAAATCTTGGCGGGTTGGGAGAAGACTGCTTGGTTTTGTCTGTGGCCTGTCAGTTTTGCGCTCGGTGATATGGACCTGGTGTTGAAGGACAAAGAGGGGACATACTGATCAATTAGTTGGGCTAGAAAAGCGTAGGCATATGGTGTGGCTTCCTCATCGTTGGTGATGGGTAGCGTATCTATCCACGCTGCTGCGATCTCCTGCCAGTTCTGCACTTTGGCAGCGTTGTAGTGTAAGATTTTCGCGATGGCTGCTGATGCATTTTCTGTTGCGAACACGTCATCTTCAGCGCGAGCATTTGGTCGTTGAACGACCTGGAAAAGCATTGGTAACGATGCTGCAGCAAAGTCTGACCATGCCTCTCCTCCCTTGTGGGCGGCGACGCCAACTCCGTAGACGGCTGCTTGGCGATTGGCAGGAACATCGTCGCGCATACCATCAATGAGGGGTTGAATGATTTGCTCGTGATATTTCCAAGATTCTGGTCCGGCAAACTCCAGCACATCGTCGAAGATGCATATAGCCCATTGGCGTTGTGTAGGATCTTGGTTGGCAACAGCCATCTCGTAGAACTCCATGAGTTGTTCCCAGTGTGGCAAGAAAGAGGTACCCATGTTTTTGAAAATAGCGTGGAAAGCCTTGTTCATATCCGAAAGGAGGTTCTGGTCATCTTCGATGGCGAAGAGCATGTCTTCCGAAGCTTCCTCGCCGTCCTCGTTTTCGGCCTGTTCTTCGATTCGCGCCTTAACACGCAGCTGATAGTCCTTTAACACGCCGCGAGCAGCTTCGACGAAGCTGCTCATGTGCGTGCTGGTCAGACAATTACGGCCAATGCACTCCAAACACTCGTAAAAGCATTGATACATTTCGGCAAGGGTATCGATGGCAGGCTCTGTGCTGAGAACCTCAAGTACACGCTCCACTGTGCGCTCCCACAGCTGACCAAGTTGTGTTGACTCTGGTCCATGCGCTTTCTTGTAGGCGTTCAGGAGTGCTGGAACGCACTTCGCGGACGCGACACGAACCGGGTCGTGGAAGAAGAATGCGAGGCCGGGAAGTGCAATCTTGTCCATGATATCGTTGACATAGGGCTCGAAGGCATCTTCCAGGACCTGGGCGTAAATGACGATGAGCTCGATAGCCATGTGCTTGTCATCAAGAACGCTAGTCTTGATGCCAATGACCTTGCCCTTGAGGGGCACCAGTTCCCAGCCTTCCTCGTCTTGGATCTGAGCGACTTGTTCCTCATCATCTAAAAGTTGGATATCCGCCTTGGCACCAGCAAGCTCAGTGAGAGGTGGAATGACACCAGCGAGGAAGGGAACGAATTCTCGGCCAAGAACCCGGCACATACGGCCCCAGCAGTGAAGTAGATAGGAGGCTTGTGGGTCATCGCTATCTGACACGCTGTTCTGAATGCGACCTAATAGTTGGACCAGGTTCAACGCATCTGGGCCCATGCGGTCTTTACCAACAGCTAGAGCGATGAGGGTGGCACACTCCATAGCTTTAGCGCGTAGCAGCCGGTACTCCTTGGACTGTTCCTCTTGAAGAACATTGAAGAGAAGAGGCATTAGGGTATCGTAGTACTTGGAGAAAGCAGCTTCGGCTGAGTCCGCGACAGTCGCAATCGTTGATAGAGCCTGTTCCTGAACAAAGCGCTTAGGGCTTTGAAGAAGCATGAGAAGATGGTTGAGCAGCTGATCCAGGTACGGCTCAAGAATGTCTTTCTCGGCCTCCTCACAGAAGTTGACAAGAGCGGCGGCGGCGTGTGCCTGCACACGGGCTTCCGATGACTCCAAGACCGGTATGATATTGGACAGGACGACTTGGTGGTACTTTTCTTGCATAGTACCTGCAAAATCGGTACTCATTTGTCCAACGGCATTGCATGCAGCCCACCGCACACGTGGGTGAGGATCGCGCAGTGCCGGCAGCACGAGATCTAGAACCTTGTCGAGTTCGCCAACCATCAGCTCACGGCAGCCCTCGGAGATGGCCGAGATTGCCATGAGAGCAGCATGCCTGTCTCGCCATGCAGACGATGTCATCATACGAGGAAGCCAGTTGAATGTAGGTGGTAGAATCGCCTGCCCACCAAGCTTATTGGCCAACCGGTCCATGCACTGCTCTCCAGCAACGTGGTTCGAGTCGCTCTCTTCATCAAGCTTTCCGCTATCAGCACGATTCCAGTGATAACATTGCTCCACTTACATCTTCAGAGACGTTCCACTCCTCCGCGTCATCATCATCCGTGCCAACATCAGTCATCAGGGACAGACATTGGGTGACCATGTCACTTGTGAAGTTGGGGTCTTTCTTGCACATGACAGGCACATTATCTGCAAAGGTAGCCATGAGCTCCAGCGCATTCTGGCGGGCAGTCTCGCCAAGGTCTTTATCTTGGATGACCGAGATGCTGAATTGCACGAGGCTGTTGAACAGAGGCTTGAACATCTTTGGCGCAACCTCGGCCAATTCGATGAGCGAGACAAGGGCTTTTGTGAGGAGTTCGGCATCTCCAGAGTCCTTGATCGGCGGGAGGATGTTCAAAATCTCTGGAATGAGCGAGAAGTACTTGGACTGGACCTTTCGCTGGATGGAGCGGAAGAATTGTGCGAATGCTTCCACCGCGGAGATGCGAACCTAGAAACGTGAGCGAAACTGTCAAGGCTTCGAGTTGTAGTGATACTTACTGCCGTCTCACTGTCGCCGAAACCGCCCTTGAAGGCGCCCATGACCACATCCTCATGCTGCTTCTCGATGATCTGCGGGGTGGTCGAAAAGATCCGAAAGGCGTTCTCGCGCTGAGCCGGGTCGGGTGACTGACTGGCCTGAAACAGTCCTCCCAAGAGTTCTGGCCATGCGACACCTAGATGATTTAGAAACTGCCCATCCGGTCCATTCGACGCTTTCTCACCTTCATCTGTGTGTTGCCGTGCGAGCTCTGCAACGGCATCTCCGATCTTGCTTCGCACCGAGTTGTCGGTCTCACTCGCAAGACAGTGCAGGAGTTTGGCACGTATCGCTTCGCGCTCAGCTTGGTTAAGGGTCAAGAAGAGGTCGGCGGTGCCATTGGCCGTCTTCTTGGTCTTGGATGACACGCGCCGGAAAATGACGGCGGCAAAAGTTCGTGTCTGACGGAGCCGTGTAAGCCAGTATCTTTGTGCTGGAGACTTTCCCTATGGTGGAGTTCTTACTGAAGTGTCCTGTGCCAGCTCGATCTGCTCCGACAGGCCCATGAGGAGCACGTCGGGCCGTTGGGAGACCCATTCATCGTTCAACGAGGCCTCGGCTGCAGAGCGCTGTATATTGTCCGAAGACTGCAGGCCCTGGAGCATGCCGGCCAGCGCCGTGTGGACATCTGCGGGGAGGACCGACATGTTGTGCCTCTATGGGTATCTCGTGTCTGGCGAGGAGCGGCCGCGTCGATGGAGTCAAGAGCGTGGGCGCAGGCGCAGCAGGCAAGGGACTGGCGACTGCCCAGGTGAGGCGGCGAAGGTTGGCTGCGTGTGTGTAGGTGCGCGTGTGACGTGGACGTGGGCGTGGAAGAGGAAGAGGAGGAGAGAGGAGCGCACTGCAGCTAGAGTAGATTATGCACCGTGCCGGAAGTTTCGCCTGGTGGTCGGTAGACGGCAGCTTCGTGGGCTTTCGTGGGCTTCGTGGCTTCGTGGCTTCGTGGACTCGTGGGTTTGTGGCTTCTAAGAGAGAGGATTGTTGTAGCAAAATTGCTGATGTTTTGGCGGGGCTTCCACAAAAATGTTGCCAACAGCCAGGCCAGCCTAAAAAGTTCAAACATTGGGAAACCAGGGTGCGTGTTGAACAGCGTCAGTCACCCCGCTACCGAATCCATTGGCTAGTCTGTGCGTCAACCTCTCGCCTCCCGACTCCCCTCCACCCCCAACCCCCCGACCAAACAGCCATATGGCCGCATATACTTTCACCGCCTCTATCGCCATGTAGCTGTCTTGTGACGTAGTTTTGGCCCCCACAAAAGAGACAGAGATATAGAGTACACATGTGTGTATGTGTGTCACAGCACCTACATGTATAAAAGAGCTTCCATGCATCGATGGTGAATGGTCTCAAACTGTCTGCTTACGTGCGAATGATATACACCATCAATCGCTCGCTATGACTACCAACGATGGATATCAAATACCAACAAAGGGAAGTGCAGCCCACTTATGCATCGCTGGGCCAAACGGAGTCTACTCAAAACAACAAAAGAAATAGACCACCACCCTCACCTCCAACATCATCGCTGACCATGATCTCTCCCCAAAAAATCTAACGACTAGTCGAACGACCAAGGATGAACACACCAACAATAACCACCGCGAGGACACCAATGGCACCGGGAAGGAGCAGGTCGTTTGGTACACCTGGGATGACCTCAGCCTGTTCTGCCCGAGGTACCGGCTGGTTGCGACCCCTCGACCTTGGCTTGGCCTCTTCCTCCTCTTCCTCATCAAAGAACTGCTTTCGCTGGCGGAGCACCGAGTCTGGCGGCGTAGCGGGTTTTGCGAGTGCAGGCTGAGGATTGACCTCGGCGGCCATGGGTGGCTTCTCCGGGTCATGCACGAAAAGATCGACCTTCTCGCGATGAGCTTGGCGTGACAAGCTGATAGCCTCGTAGAGGTCGTCGTAAGTTGTAATCGAGACGGTGTCGCCTTCGTTGTCGAGATAACTCAAAGCAAAGCCACCCTTGGAAATCTTGCCACCATCGAATGTCGGACAGCCTCCAATCGAGTCCACTTCGGCGCCAAGCTTGCTCGCCACATTCTGAATAAGCTCCTCAATGCCGGCAGACGCGACGACTTGCAAGCGGTGCACACGCCCACTGGGGGCCTTGAACTTGAAGGGAAATGGTAGATCCTCCAGCGGTGTGGGCGGCATACCCGCTACGGCCGAATGCGACGGTGAATCACCGTGGTGGGACGCTGAATCGCCAGGAAGAACACTCTCTCCGCGGTCCAGCAGATTAGGGCGATTGTCATGAGACATGACTGATCGGTGATCATGGACGCGGCTTCCCCCCTCGCCAGACATCATAGACTCGGTTCCGTCATCCATGGAAAGCCAAAATTTATTCCAGGCTGGGCCTTCGTTGTCGGTGGTGCTGATATTGTTGATCTAGCGTCATGTTAGTTGAGGATAATTCATAGTTGTCTGGTAGGCCTACCTGATCGAGAGTAGCGTAGGTCAGCTTGAGAACGTCGACCATGCCAACAATCTCGCCGGCATCGCTCATGACAGGTAAATTGAGGTAATGGCCATCTATGCCATATCAGTATCAATATATCACAATACAAGGCGGCGTAATATTGCTCAACATACCATGCATCTTGCGAAGAGCAGACTGGATGCTCATGTCCATCGGCGCAAAGTCAGGATGAGGTGTCATGACCCTTACCACGCTGCAAGTAGCGGGGTCAAGACCAGCAGCAATCACGCGGAGGACGACGTCTTTGCTCGTGAAGATACCTGTAATGGAACCCTGATCTTGCACAAGGACAGCAGTGGTGTGATTCTCTTTCATCAGTGCCGCAGCCTCCTTGACCGAGGTGCGTACGGATACAGTCGTGGGTGGCAGGCCGGTCAAGACAGACTCCAGAGTAGGCCCAGACATCTTCTGGCGGATGGCTTCAACATAGGAAATAATCTGTTGTGGTTGACTTGATCCCATCTCGGCCTGAACACCCTCCAGAGCATCGTAGAGCTTACGCGAGGAGCTGTACGCACGCTCGAGCTTCTCCATGGCATCGTAAAAGCACTTTGTGATATCCAGAATACCAGAGATGTCATGATTCTCGTCCATAACAGGCAAATGGCGGAAGCCTTTCCGTACCATGAGATCGAGGGCATCTGTAGCGCTTGTGTCGGTTTTCGCACAAAGGGGGTTCTTGGTCATGATCTCCTCGATGGTCACGTCGCGTGCCTTAATTCCAGCTCCTACCACTCGAAAAGCAAGATCTTTGGCGGTAAAGATACCAGCAATGCGATCGTCTTCGTCGGTGACCAAGACGCAGTCCTCCCTTTTCGCGGCCATCAGCTGCGCTGCTTCTGCGACGGTAGTATTTGGTTTGATCTGAAGCGCTGGGCTAGGCTTGAGGGCTAGAACTGTGCCTGGTGGCGCTTTCTTCGAAGGGCGCACTCGTCCACTCTGGCTTTTCTTCTTGTTCAAATCCGTCTCGATTTTCCGTCGGATGGCCTGTTGTCACGATAAGCTTCGGTCTGTCCACATGTATCCAGCGAAGCTCACATCATCCCTCTTCGACATTTTCGCCCTACTGGCGCTGAGAGAGGTACCAGCATCGCTCTGGGTGACTTGGGAGGCATGGGTTTCGAGAGCGGGACGTGGGATTCCAGACGGACTACTGTGGGTAATGTGAGGTGGCTCAGGCTTGCGATTCTTGGGAGTACCCCGCATCGTACCGGTGTGCGACATGTTGGCAGAGTTTACAGATTCCCTGACGCTTCAGAGAATCTTGTTGGCTGTTGAGGGACCAGTAGGATTGAACTCAGCGGCGTTTGCGGAGTTGTAGAAGGTGGTTGCCAGGGTCGACAAAAACAATGCACAGGGCCGCAGGCAAGCGCCGAGGCCTGGATCGCTAAAAGTCACCAGACAGCTCACACCGCCGCCATGCAAGGTCGAAATTTGCTGCAAAACTTCTTCACGCTGCATGGGTTCGAGGGATGTTGGTCATGGATATGGTTTACGACTATTCTCTACCTTTAGGTACATATTACGGCTCGAAAAATGATAAGCGTGTCCAGACTTGGAAATTGACTTTGTATAGCAGAGGATGTAAAGCGTATGGATTCAATGTTACTCGGCCCACTAGATCACGTTTCCTTTTCAACGCCCAACGCATTTCGTGACTCCAGCTTAGCATAATGCAGTAAATTCTACTGTTGAAAAAAGACTGAATGAGATCTGAGATCTGAAAGAATACCTACCTACCTAGGTACTTGCTCGACTTTGCGTCAAAACTGCCTAGTGATGAACTTTCACCTCACTCCGCAAATCTGGTCACGATGTGGCCAGTGAAGAATGACACAAGGAAAGAAAACAAAAGTCGCGCCATTATGTGCTAGGTACATTCCACCCAAATGTCGTCTCATCTGCATACCTACACAACCTCAATAGAGTCCTGTCACGTCAACACCTGGGCATGATGGAGCGGGGCTCTGATGGTTAGCGCGCCAAGTGATAAGATTAGATCTCGCTACGCCCACACCTGCAGGCGCGGCTATCGAAATTCACCTTGAAGCTCGACATCCACGACCGACACCCACGACAAACCCCAACTGCTGACTTTTAGATTTTACATCTTCGGTACGCGTCCTCGACTACCACGAATTACGAATACATAACTCACGAATTACATAGAATCAGCCCATCATGGTCAAGAAGCGAGCATCCAAGTATGCAACACTGGAATATCCAAGCAGGAAAAGGCAAAGCTAATATCTCCATAGCGGCCGTAACAAGAAGGGTCGCGGCCACGTCAAGCCCATTCGCTGCAGCAACTGCTCGCGATGCACTCCCAAGGACAAGGCGATCAAGAGATTTACCATCCGCAACATGGTCGAGTCCGCCGCCATTCGTACGTCTTCACTCGCAAAACGCTACCCGCCACCCTCGCGAACAACGAGCAATTGCACATGCAAGGACTATAACTGACATGAAGGGCAGGTGATATCTCCGATGCGTCCGTCTTCCCTGAGTACACTGTCCCCAAGATGTACCTGAAGCTCCAGTACTGCGTTTCCTGCGCCATCCACGGAAAGATTGTCCGTGTCCGCTCGCGCGAGGGACGTCGCAACCGTGCTCCTCCCCCAAGGGTCAGGTACAACAAGGACGGAAAGAAGATCGTAAGTATCCTTGGTAGAATCATCTCATGGACACAATGCTTACAGATATTCCAGAACCCTAACCAGGCTGCTGCTAAGACCACCACCGCTTAGACGAAGTTGACGGGCATGGAGTGATTGATCTCGGCGCTTGGGTGTCGGTCCTAGGGTTCTTTCGGAATCTCATACTGAAAATGCATGAACCATGGAATCTGGGGCAACTAGGTGTGACGATTCATGGCTGCAGGCTTGCCCGGAACGGCTGCGATGAGCACCAAGGGTTAGCTATGAACTTGTAAACGAATATCCAAGTCGATCTGCATCCGACTCCTTCGCATTGTGGATCCGTGATGTTAAACCCGGCAGCTCCACTTGGGGCGATTGATATCACGTAGGAACCGAGCACCATGGCGAGAGCATCCCAGCATGTGGAGATCTTGTTTACGCCCAGGCCTATGTGATTGCTAGACTGGCGGCTTTTCCATTGTGTCTTCATGTGACCAATTCATTGTAGTTCTCTGCTTGAATCTGGAATAGCCATTGGGTATCAAATATTGCATTGGCCATCTTTCCAATGATAGAGGAAGCCTTAGATCATACCCGCCGTTGAATTACCTTACGCTATTATCTCTCAGTTATTGCGTTTCTTACCATCGCCCAAATCGCCGTCATCATCCTTTGACATTGCCATACCATTCACAGGTTCCGGTTCGGTCGTCTCCCAGTCTACAGCGTTCTCGTCCCAACGCTCCAGTTCTTCGTCAACCGTAGGTCTGACAACGCCAGACTCCTGACCGCCAACACTTTCTCCAAGCTCGATATCTCTCTCCTCGTCTCCTGCTACTGCCGTGTAGCCCCTCGCGGCGCGCTTGCGCTCCAGCATACGTTTATGATACCAATTACAGGCTGCGATTGCAAGAAGCGAGCCGGCGACGTTTGCTACAATATCATTGTAGTCAAATTGGCGGTTGATCTGCATCATCCTCATCAGCGCCCATGCATCTTGCCTCGTATTTGAGAAGAGTAGCCACGTACTGGTAATAGCCCTTGTACAACCTCACCAGTTATTCCCAAACCCAATGTGCACACCGTGAAGGTTAACTGCAGGACCTTACGCCTGGAAGTCTCCAGTATCCAGTAGAAGGAGATTGTAAGCAGGAAGAAGGCGACGAAGTGAAGCACTTTGTCGGACTGCTTGTAGGTTGGGATGGAGTAGTCGGGCGGTGAAAAGCGGGCAGCGGCGGAGATGAAGACCAGGCCGATGAAAGCAGCTATAGTATGTTAACTACATGCTGGCACAGGCCGTGTGGACCTGCTTGAAGGGGGGTAGAGAAGCTGCTGGTAGCAGTCATGCTGGGAGCATATGCAGCGTGCGTGCTGCATCGTTGCTGGGATCGCGGGTCTTGGCTCAGAGGCCCATGACGTGTGAAGACTGCAAGAGTGTGTGTACTGTACGTACCGGCGAAAGGCTTTCGAATCCGCATGATGGGGAAATGGAGTGTGTGGTGCTATAATTGGAGGTAGGGCATGATCTGCGGACTAGGATCGAGAAGAGGGTCTGGGGGAAGTGGGCGTGGATTTCACCGCTCGCTCTGAGCTGGTCAGTTGGCTTGTGGGCGGAGATGGGCCACGATGTGCGTACGGCATGTAGGGTGGACTCTGGCCAACTATGCCGTATTTGGTCACGTGCATTTGCGCCTCAGGGTCTGCCCGTTGTGTGTACATGTGGTCATTATGGCAGTTGTAGGCAGTCCTATGTACGCTGCATGGATGCAGGACTAGGTAGACAGCCATCACCTTGAGGAGGAGTTCATTTCTGGGCCATTTGCTATATGATTCATAGTCACTGTTGGATGCAGGGCGGCATATAGTGATTCATGCTCAGGATGTGTCTACTACACACATGCCTACTTACTGTCTGTCCTCCAGCTTATGCAACAACGACAACAACAACAACAACAATAATAACAACCCACAACCACCACTGCCACTAGCAAAATCCAGATTTCTGGCACAAACTGCCAGCAAACTATGTGGGGGCCCCAGGGCATTTCACATATCAACGTGCGTGGGAGTGATCTGAGGTGTAGTCTGGGGTTTCTGCCGTAGCGTGCTGTTCACGGCCACTAAGGATCGCTGCGCTTGCTTGAGCTTAGTCCGACTTCCAGACGTCCTCTCCTCATCGCAAGCCGGCTGCACCTGCACGTTCGGCCATCAAAGGACGCGCGCCCACATCGGATTCCATCTCGCAGTCATCGGCTATCCACTCGTTCATAGCAGGGCGTCTCCCATGCTAGCTTTCATCGCATCGCGACACCTGTACGAGGTTGGACGTCGCCCCCAAGGCGGCCCTTCCCTGTGAGGGCCCCCCCACAAGCGACACGGCCATGTCCCTCGCCGCATCCACACATCGGCCATCTTCACGAGAACGCCCAAGCCATGCACGCTACCTGCATCAACCGCCCAATGCGACTCGCCTGCGCACTCCCAATGCGACCCTGAACGATGAGGCCATGCCATCCGCCACCCACGCGAACCCCCTCCCTCACGCGGACATGACCACCGACGACGACCCCCAGACTGCGCGCTGGCATGAGCAGTATCTGCGCACCGAAGCGCGCCTGAACGCGCTGCTGGGAGGCCACACCCAGAACCTCACCGCCACCGGCCGTGACAATGGAGCCCCAGCATCGGCCGATGACGCTCCGGCGGCGCATGACGCGCGCCCGGCCGTGACTCCAAAGAGGCCAACGCGAGCCATCGACGAAGACGACTATGGCGATGACGACGAGGAAGAAGACGAAGAAGACACCCATACCTCACCGCTGCTTGCAAAAAGCGCCCTCAACGGCCTTGCTGGTGCCGCCGCCCCCGACACGCCAAGCCATCTTCATGTACCATCCATGTCGAACAAGTCAGGCATAGATCCCCAGGGCACACCATCCTCTGAGCAGCCCAAAACCTCCGACGATGTGCGCAAGAAGCTGCAGCAAGATAAGAAAGCAGCAGAGGATGCCGCGAAGAGGAGCTTCCACACCCTCTTCTACTCCCTCGAAAGCGACCGAGACGCGATGTTGGAGCAGCAAAAGCTAGATGAGCTGGACAGACAGGTAGAGATCGAGACATCTGGTCAGCCTGCCAATGCTCCGACCAATGGAGCCGTTGCTGCCCCCCAACAAGGCACACTCAGCAACACGAATCTTGGCGCTTCGAGTCTGACGCTCAAACATCTCATATCCCGAATAGATGCGCAAAGAGACCGGGTACACGCGACCGATGCTCAATTGCGAAGTCTCATTAGTGAAGTCCGCAAGAATAGGAGCAAGTGGGCGAATGAGGATCGTGTCGGGCAGGAGGAGCTATACGAGAGTATGGAGAAGGTCTTGATGGAACTCAAGGCGGGCGAACATGCCCATCCCTTCTTGCAACGCGTGAATAAGCGGGAAGCCCCAGACTACTACAACGTTATCAAGCACCCCATGGACATTGGCACGATGATGAAGAAGCTCAAACAGCTACAATACAAGTCGAAGAAGGAATTCGTCGATGATCTCATGCTGATTTGGTCTAATTGTCTCAAGTACAATGCCGACCCGAGTCATTTCCTTAGGAAGAAGGCACTTCACATGAAGAAGGAGACCGAGAAGCTTGTCCCCTTGATTCCAGATATTACTGTTCGCGACCGTGCCGAGGTCGAAGCAGAAGAGCGGAGACTGCAGCGCAGTGGCGATCTAGATGCAGATGGGGCGGAGGACAGCGAAGATGAGGAGCCCATCATGGCATCACGAGGCCGCAAAGCTCCAAGTAAAGGGGGCAAGGGTTCAAGCGCTGCGAGAACAGCGCCTCCAGCAGGTCTGGAGGACACCCCAGGACCTGAACCCAAGCCACCTGTCCCGTCCATTAACAATGCTGTTTCGAATTTAAAGAACGAATTCTTGCGTGCGGACTCAGAAATGGAGGGTAGCGTGAATGGATTTGCCACTCCCCCGCCCCCGGGGACTTTGACGCCGTCAGGAATCAACAGTGTCTCGAAGAATGGTATCAATGGCAGTCAGGCAGACCCTTCGGAGGCCGACGGTACGGCCGTCTCTTTTAGTGACACTCTCGAGGAGGAAGCTGATCACGATGATCTCGAGTTCAAAACATGGAAGCAAGTGACGAAGAAAGACCGTGCTATCATTGCCTCGGAAAGACACCGACTCTTCCGTGACGATCACCTCCAAGCCGACGAGCCAGCTATTCTACGAACAAAAGCTGGTATGAGAAGGTGGCTTCGCCATCGAAAGCAGGCCATGGAGGAAGAGTCGGCAAGCGGTTTGACTTCAGTACCAGACGGCAAAGACGGCGTGCAGGCCACAGCAGGCGAGTCTCTTGCCGAGGGTATCGAGGGCGAAGAAGAACGCCAAATCCCAGACTACTACGATGCTGTTTGCGCCATTCCGGATCTTACTGAACGACTCCAATGGGTCGAGGACGCGGAAGGCAACGTGGTACAGCAGGTTGAAGAATACATGCGTATTGTGCCAGCAGGTCAATTCACAGCCCCTGACAGCGCTTTATCGCACAGGATGGACGCCAACATCCAGTCGCTTCAGGACACAAGGAAGATCTGTTCAAAGATTGGCATCGTCAAACAGATGCAGCTCCAATCGCAGCTATATCAGAACCAATTCCAACGATACGAGCCTCAACCGTTTATGGAAGCCGATATAGAACCAATGGTCGTCTCTGAAGACGGTCCTGTCATGGCGCCTTACGTCTGTCGCGCAGCGCTACAACGGAGCGTGGGTAAGATCTTCTACCATGCTGGCTTTGAAGAGTTCCAACCGTCAGCTTTGGATGCGGTGACGGATATTGCGGCCAAATTCTTCCAAAATCTTGTTGCTAGTCTTGGTGTCTATCGCGAGACACCAAAGATGAGATCCGATGCGCCAATTACTTTGCCTAATGGAGAGACGACCAACTGGACTCCTCGCTTCAACCAAGAGGAAGCGGTGCTACACTCTTTGCATGCAAATGGTGTCGATCTCGAATCGTTAGAGACCTATGTCAAGGACGACGTTGAGCGGCTGAGCAGCAAGCTGGCAGGCATGCACGAGCGCATGCGATCCTACTATGCCGAGTTGCTTCGACCTGCCATGGACAACGTCGGTGCAGATGGTGCTGGTGCCTTCAACGATGGCAGCGAGCAATTTGTTGGTGGAGACTTTGCGGAAGACATCGGCGAAGATTTCTTCGGTTTCAAGGAGCTTGGGCTTGATAGGGAGTTTGGCCTCACCTTTAGTGTACCACTGCACTTGCTACAAAACAGGGTACATAATGCCTATGCCAGGCAAGACAACAAGTATGCATCATCCCACCTACTCAGGCAAAACTATGCTAATCTTGATAGTGCGATTGCAACCACCGGTGTGGTCATGCCCGAACCACCCAAATTCGAGCCCGTCAACATTCACACCGCAGAAAACCAGATTGGCCTCGTTTCCAGCTGGCTTCTCAACAAAATCCACGACAATAACAGCCAGCCCCTCATCGAAGATGATGACTTGCCACCTAAGCAGCGTTTCCCCAAGCCTCGTCTCCCTCCTACGGGTAAGATTTCCAGTCCTCGCAAGCGGCCGCTTCGCGAACAGCAACAAATGGCGCGTAAGAAGCGGAAAATGGATGAGGAGAAGGATGAGAATGGCAATGAGAATGGCAGTGGTGGTTTTGTAAAGGGCCTCGGCAAGCCAGTGGGGAAACTAAAACTAGAGCCCTCGCAAAAGGAAAATCATGGTGTGCAGGAGCCAGAGAAAGATGATGGGAGTGCGCATGGGATGCCCAGTCCACCAGAATCTTTTTAAGGAGTTATGATGTTGGGGTTGGGGATCCTGAGGGGAATTTTATTCCTTTTTGTCCGGCTTTCCAGCATTTGACATATGGAGGTGGAGCGATCGCAGACTGCTGGTTAAAGCGGTGCGCTCGCGATCGTTGGCGCATTTTTTTTACTCGGGCTCGCGTCGAGTTTCACATTGTAGGCCCAACAGGTTTTATGTTTAATCCTCTTTATCTTTTTTTATTTGAATTACCAGTCTCTGTTTTCTCGATATGTAATTGCCCGTCAAGTCTCCAAGGGCTCTCGGCGTGAAGAGCAACGGCTGGTTTCGTCAAGCCTTTGCTCACACGGACCCGGGTTTTGCACGCGATTGCGAGCTTGATTTTGTCACTTTTTCTTCTTCTTCTTCTTCTTCTACCTGGCTCACGCGACCATTTAGCTTCCACGCGGTGGTCGGCAATACCTTGTCTTATCAAATTGCTTCTCACTTGCTTTTCTTTTCTCGAGTCAACAGGGGGTCTTCGTCCTTGTATACCCCCAACCTCGCATCCGTCCGCGCACCATCATCTTCCCGTCCAAAATCTATCAGAAAAAATATTAGGGTTCATACGCGACGAAATAAAAGACGGGGGAAATGATGATGTGAATTTGAAACTGGGGTTTGGCGGTGGTATATTGTCGGTTCTGGGGTTCCTCTCTTCTCTCTTTGTCTTTCTCTTTTTCTCTCTTTATCTGAACTTTTTCGGGCTTTTGTATATAAAGCTTGTGTGAGTGTGTGAGTGTGTTGCGGATAGGTTTATGCGCTAAGATATGCGGGATTTTGGGGGCGCTTGTGGTGCGGTACGGTTTAAAAATTGAGATAAGAGTTGGGTGAGGTATTTTCGGGTGTGCGGCTATGATGGGGTTGGGTTGATTTGAGTTGGTCAGTTGGGGCGTAGAGGGGGGAATGATAAATATTGTTTAAAGAGGAGTTTATTTATTTTTGGCTGCTTTTTTTATGCATGTGTTATGTGTTGATCATGTGTAGTGTTGAGGCTTGATTTGCGTGTAGTATAACCTTGTTGCTAGATATGTGGTAATTTGTTGGCTGTTAGGACGAACTGAATGAACATGAGATGGAGGAGACTGAACTTAATGAAGGAATAAGGAATAACACGGCAAATACTAGTTGGTGGAATGTGGAAATGTTGTTGCCTGCTTGGACACCGAACAGTCTTGCCACAAGGTGGAGAGTTGATATTTCCAGTTCTCTAGCGTCTGGTCGAAGTTATTCTCATCACCATTCCCTGATATTTCTGCACTGGTGCAAATACTTTACTAAATGTATACAAGTTAGGGTCGTTAATCAGAACAGACTGCATACGAATTTGTTGGTCAACATATGCACACTTCACAAGAATATCATGCTGACAGGAAAATCCACAGCCAGCCATGTTTGCAGTCATCGAAGACTGCCGAATTGTGGCTGGAAAACACTGTTCGTCCGCAGTACCAGTATGTGGATAAGGCAGAGATGGGCTGTGTCTTTGCATGATGATGCCATACGCGGTGGATCAGCAGAGTATAGTGAAAACTTCTGGGTTCGGGTCCCGCATACGCAAGCGGTCTATGCAGGTGAACCTCGAGTTGTAGTGGACGTTTTCACAGTGGCTACAATCTCGTCCCACAAGCAGAGACCTGTTATAGCCAGCTTATAATGTAAACAGGTTTCGTCACGAGTCTGGTGATTGCAAGTTACCAAGTCCTATCGTGACCATCGACATGGTATTTACGGGACTATTTTTTGTACCACTCTTCAAAAGTCCATTTAGGCTGTGGTCAAACCAAAGTATATGGGCATCACAATCACAAATCAGTCTTCTGGGCATGAGAAAGCTGCGACGGAAAAACAGCCTGTCAATGCCACTGGATCATGACGAACAATAGACTTGACATGACATCATCTGTACCATTAGGAATCGCAAATGTGAAACCTGTGGCCGATGTGATGAAGTAGACGCGACTGGGTAGCCGAGCTGAAATTGGACATTGCTTAGTCTAGCGCATTCTCTCATTTCTGCGACGAACCTTCTCATTCCGCTCACACAAACGGACGATAACCACCAAGTATCGATTCGCATTCGATTCGACAAAAGACCATTTCACTGTGAGTAGTTGTCGCCCTAAGCTAAGTTCTTGGCGACCTCTTCGAAAACTAGTTTGCCTACGGTATGTGCCACGAGACCGTCGATGTGGTCCGATGGACGACTTGAACCTCTCTTCCTTTTGTCACTTTACTCCAACAAACCTCACACCCACAGGCCGCTTGCTGCACATAGCTGCACCACTACCTGTTGGATTCTGTCGCGAATCTTTTGATTGAAATCATTGACACGCGTTGGTTCTAATCAAGTCGTTCTTGCAGACATTTACGCGGTTTGTCTTTCCGCCAACTCAAAGATACGCCGCAAGCGCTTCATGGCGCCCAACGGACGCAAAGCGTCCCAGCGGCGCAATAGACATCAATCTCAAAAGAGCTCCTGCCATTCGTGGCTCGAGACAAATGGGAAAGCCGAATTCGACAAATGGAGGCTCGACAATCCGACACAAGAAATCTCATATGAGGTTTGGAAGAAATCGGAACACGTCGAAGGCCTCTCATTGTTTTTTGCGGCTGCCGACATCCTCAACGAATCTGATTCTAGTGTAAGTGCCAGATTGCGATCTTCATCAAATATTGGGTAGTCACTTTTTTTTGACACTGAAAGGACGATGATGAGAATCTTGAGCCAGAGGAGGTGAAACCTCGTCCGCACCCGGTGCGTACTCTATCGGCGCGCGAACCGAAGAAGAAAGTGACGGTGAACGACAAAAGACCTCCGCATGCCGCATTGTCGGCAATTCCAGCCGCGCATGCGAACTCTGACGATTTGAGCCCAGCCAGCAAAAGGCAGCGCAGGGCGAAAAAGTCGTTTCTGGTACGTTGATGATTTACATGTCACGTAGTACAATTCATGGATACTAATACACCTGCGACAGTCTGAAGAGACCGTTGACTCAGATAGCCATAGCGATGGCCAACAAACACCATCAGTTGGACTCGTCAAGCAAAATGGCGCAACAGCTCCAGTACCCACCACTGCTGTCAATGGAAAGCGCAAATCTTCTGGTCGCAAGTCTAAGAAGAAGTTCCTTGTAAGTGTCACTGAAGCATGACAAGAATACCCCATGCTGATTCTACCTTAGTCAGAGGAGATAATCTCGCCAGAAGATGAGATGGATGATCCCATGTCACTAGGGGAAGTCGTGCCTCCACTGATCGCATCACCTCTACCAGTCCGCCCAGGTACGTCATGCGCTCGACATAGTTCTGAGATTGCTGGCCCCGCATTCTCGTGTTCTCTCAACAGCTACAAGAGTTTTGCGACAGTGGAACAGTTACGATGTCCTGCATTCTCGACATGGATCGCGTGTGCCAATTTTCGTTCACATGCTAATTCGTGGAACAGCACCAAAGGCAACGGCCAGGTCAAAAACCACAGCGCAGACTTCAGTGCAGAATCCCGAACCGCCGAAGAAGACGCATATTATCAAGCTCATCACCCGAAAGACGCCGAAGAAGCCAGATTCTGTAAGTCCGAGATTAGATCAATATTCTTTTCGCTCTGCTAAGTCGCACCAGCCCGAGCAAGATGAGCGCATGAAAGTTACAGTGGCACCAACCTCAGCCACAAACATTGCTGCGACAAGCAAGCCCAGTAAAGCATCCAGAAATTCGAAATCTGTAAGTGTAGTTCTTGATACGGCTGTTCCATGTCGCTGAATTTCATCAGGTCGAGGTAGAAGAACTATATAAGACTATCCAAGGCACTAGCACAACCGAGAGTGCTGGTCCAACAATTGATGCCAGCACTGTTGCACCAAATCAGACTCCCACTCAGTCTGTAGAAGCAGGAGCAGATTCGGCCGTGAATTCGCCCAACCCAACGGACCTCTCAGCTTCAGGTACACGGCGTGGTCTTCGCACGCGCCGACCTGCACAACAACGCCCATACTATCATGATGCCCAGCTTTTCGATGACGTCGAACCTAACATCTCTAGCCCGGGCGGCCCATCCACTGCATCTCCAGAACTACGCAGCAGACGTGCGTCCGCTGTGTCCTTTGTCAACAAGCCCTACGACACTGAATTGCTTGCGCATCTTGACGCAGAGGCTCTCGCCATCTTGCAAGACGACGCCGAAGATGAGCCAGTAGGTGAACGCCGACCTAAGACCTTCAAAGGCAAAGGCCGGGCCTGGAAAAAAGAAGAATCAGACGAAGATGACGAGTTTATCGTTGATAAGAAGAAGGCTGCAAAGGCTGCAAAGGCTAAAGCTAAAAATCAAGCTCCTACTGTGCCGAAGAAGAGGGGCCGGCCGAGGAAGAGTGCGTTGCCTGAGGACATGATACTCGACCGTTCAGAACTGCCAGGAACCACATCCGCGCACAATTCGCCTGCTCAATCACCCTCGCCTGCCACCACCGTCAAGGAGGGAGCGAAGAAAGGGCGCAAGCCGTCTCGCAAGAGTCTTCTCTCTGCCGAGATCATCGAGGACTCGGACAGCGACATCGACGCCAGCCTAAACACGGTTTCTGCACGTGCCGAGTCGACCGCTGCCTCAACGCCAAAGTCGAAGAAGGTGGCCAAGGCCAGGAAGTCAGATCAGAGTACGACATCTAGGAGCTCTGTGCGCCCGCAAGATGATGTCGGGGCTGTTGAGCCAATAATTCAGTCAACAACACCGGTTAGCACGCCGCGGAAGAGTTATAAGCCAAGTGACATGATGGATGGTAGGAATTATACGCCAATGGGTATGCCACGCAGTCTGAGATTGTCGCTCTCAGATACGGTGGAGGGGGCCAAGGAAGATGTCGAGGTTGCTGGCGATGAGCCTCTAACAAAGGACGACAAGATGGTGGAAGAGAAGACTGTGGCTGAGGAGGAAGTGCTCTGTAAGCTGCCTACTGCTCATCCATAGGCCGTGTTCCTACGAAACGTGCTAATCATGAATCACAGAGAAGAGCAGGCTTCGGAAACATTGACGTCGCACGGCGGATTGAGTTGCTTTTGGAAGGGCTTACTTGCATATCGATTGCGTTTCTATGGGAGTTTTGTTTTCTTTCTTTATTGTTTGGGTTGCGGCAACGCCATGGCGCTTGGTGCTTGTGATGCATAGTCTGCCTGTAAGGAGGGAAGACGTTTTTTTTTGCTTGGAATGGGATAGAATTGGTTGGGGTCGAAGATGCTAATCGGGGATCATCCGTTGTGCGAGAGAAAAGGGAATTGAATACCGACACCATATATTGCACAGATAAGCTGTTATTTTTTGCCTCCTCGTGACTAATTATACAAACATGTCTTTTCATATCTAAATATTTGTGTCTACGTAGCAACATTCGTCACGTACGATGTAGGCTGGTGGTCTCATGGAATCCAGACCACAAATTCTGCTTAGAACCTCAGGCCCCTTAGCCTCGTAAAGTAGTATACAATGCCAAACGCCGACCCGCCAAGATGCCCTGCATGTCCCACCTTCGACGTTTCATCGTTGAGATAGTAGCCATCATAGGCCGCATAACCCGCGACGAGGGCCCACATGGGAACTGGAATGATACCATACAAGTGGACTTTGGCCGAGGGCATCAAACAAGCGGCTACGCTACTAATCCCCATGACGACACCTGAAAAGCCCAAGCCACGCACATACTTTCTGCTGAGGGGATTCCGCTCCTGCGCATAGCGATTTGCCAACCAGCCAAAGGAGCCGCTGAGGCCGCTGCCCATAGCGATGACGAAGTAGCGAGTCGGAGTGATGATGGGGTGTCTAGCGAGGAAGCGACCGAGGAAGAAGACGGTGAACAAGTTGCTGAATATGTGGCTGAGGTCGATATGGGTAAACGTACTCGTGAACAAGAGCCACCAGTGGCCCTGGCGGACATCATCGAGGTTGAGCGACATGTTGCGGATGAAATGTAACCAGGGTTGCTTGTTGCCTTGCCTGGCTGCTTCTCTGACATAGATGGCGTAGCCGAAGACGGAGACGTTGACCGCCATGAGGGCGTAAAGGACTCGCATGTTGGCTTTTTCGTGGGAGGCAAAGGGGTTGGTTTCGTAGGATCTGGAGAGGCGTGGTCGCGGGGGGATTTGGGTGCGGGGATAGAAGTTTCGGGGGAGGGGCCTGGGTCTTGAGGGGGTGAAAGAGGGGAGGGACCGCAATGGTCGTGTTTGGCGGAGGAGGGCGGACATGATGATGTGTCGCAGTGGTTGTTGTCTTGTCTTTGCAATGGTCCAGGTAAATTTGAATGGACTGAATGGATTTTATAAAGTAGATTTGAATTCTGGCGGGGTTGATGATATCTGAGCCCTTCAAGAGGCAGTTTGGATGTCAAAGTTCGTGTGTGTTGTGACGGTCCTGGTGAGTATGGAGGACTGGATGTTGGAAAAATGATAATTGGAGATGTGGCTGGATGGGAGACTCCAGGAAGGTTTGATAACTAGCAACTTGTGTATCTGCCGGTTTGTTAGTATCGTACCATGGGCGATATCATGCATGCTGTGGTAACTACAAGGGTGACTTTTGACGTGACTCGTACCTAGGTACTAGCCTACTAGCGAGTAATTTTGGACTGAAGTTGGGTTCCACACGAAGAAGATTCTATGTTCCAAGCCTTGAGAGACGAGATGATTCGAGGTCTCAGTGTCAGCGCAAGAGCTGTCTTGGTGCCATTCACAGAGGCAATTGGCGAGGTGAATGGATGCCTCGCTCCCCCAGGGTTGACAATGGGTGAGAGGGAGAGAGAGTGAATGAATGGGCAGGGCGGTAACAGCCGACGTCAGACAAACGACCCAATGAATGAATGGATAAGGCACGGACCCCTGCCCTCTCCACCAACCCTCCAAGTTCCTGCTGCTGCTCCATAAGAGAGATTGCTCGTCCCACGCCCACCACGACAAACCAACACTCAACCTCACCTGCAGTCTGCACGAACCATTTTGCACCTTATTCCCTCTGCAACAAAATCCCCCCTACTCAAGCCCGAATCAGGTCCTTGCTGCCGTGCACATTAAATCACGCGCAATTCCCAATCTATCCTTCGCAGACACACCCACACACACATCTGCACACACCCAACCACACCGAGGCGAAACCCCCATCAACAATAGCCTGTCTATCTCCACCCAAGGCTGCCCCAAGCTCTTTTGACGTAGCAGAAGCCAGCACATACAACATATATACACGCGATTGCCGCAAGTCACTAGGCAATCAACCAAACCCCTCGCCCGACGGAACCCCCCCCCCCCCCACCTTGCTCGACACCACGCCACAACACACCACCACCACCACCACCACAACAACAACAACAGCCACAACCACTTCCTCCCCCACGAGCACTCACCGCCATAACCCTCCCTCTTCTCTCACACCTCAGATTTGCCCAAGTCGCAACTGCTGCCCACACTCCACCCGCGTCCCCAACTCTGATCTCCTAGACTTTGACGTCTGATCACTCTCCTCCACCGACGGTGGACCCAAATCACAATGACCTCAGAAATCACCAACCAGATGGCGGCGACGAATTTAAAGTACGTGGAGCAGCCTTAGCCTGGCCAGGTTCACCTGTGCATACTGACAGCCATTAGCAGCGATGCGGCACCTTCAGCAGGCGCCAATTGGAAAGAAGGACTGAAAGCGCCTGCAAAGGATGCGCGGCCACAGACCGAGGTGAGCACTCTCAACACTCCACCGAGTATCAAGGACGAACGCTGACTTGGCATAGGACGTCACCGCAACCAAAGGCCTCGAATTCGAAGATTTTTTTATCAAGCGCGAACTCATGATGGGCATCTTTGAAGCTGGGTTCGAAAAGCCATCGCCTATCCAGGAAGAGACAATCCCAGTCGCGTTGACTGGCCGAGATATTCTCGCACGAGCCAAGAATGGCACGGGAAAGACGGCTGCCTTTGTCATTCCCACACTCGAGCGCGTAAACCCAAAGATTTCCAAAACCCAAGCTCTCATCCTTGTTCCCACCCGAGAGCTCGCTCTACAAACATCGCAAGTATGCAAGATGCTGGGCAAGCACCTTGGCATCAATGTCATGGTCTCGACAGGTGGAACGGGACTCAAGGACGATATTATACGACTAAGCGATCCGGTGCACATCATTGTGGGAACACCAGGCAGAATTCTCGATTTGGCAGGCAAGGGCGTGGCCGATCTCTCGGCCTGTCAGACCTTTGTCATGGATGAGGCTGACAAGCTCTTGTCCCCAGAATTCACTCCGGTCGTGGAACAGCTTCTTGGCTTCCATCCCAAGGACAGGCAGGTCATGCTTTTCAGTGCCACGTTCCCAATCGTGGTGAAGAGCTTCAAGGTATGCCCATTCCCTTTCGTTAGCATGGATATTTCTGACTTTGCATAGGACAAGCACATGAACTCACCATATGAGATCAATCTGATGGACGAGTTGACTCTTCGCGGTATCACGCAATACTATGCCTTTGTGGAGGAGAAGCAGAAGGTACACTGCCTCAACACGCTTTTCAACAAGCTGCAGATTAATCAGTCCATCATTTTCTGCAACTCTACGAATCGCGTCGAACTTCTCGCGAAGAAGATTACTGAGCTTGGATACTCTTGCTTCTACTCGCATGCGCGCATGCTCCAGCACAACCGAAACCGCGTCTTCCATGACTTCCGCAACGGCGTCTGCCGAAACCTTGTCTGTTCCGATCTCCTGACTCGTGGTATTGATATCCAAGCCGTCAATGTCGTCATCAACTTCGATTTCCCCAAGAACGCAGAGACCTATCTGCATCGTATTGGTCGTTCTGGTCGTTTTGGCCACCTTGGATTGGCTATCAACCTTATCAATTGGGAAGACCGCTTCAATCTCTACCGTATCGAACAGGAACTTGGTACGGAAATTCAGCCCATTCCTCAGGTCATTGAGAAGAACTTGTACGTGTATGAGTCTCCGGAATCCATCCCTCGTCCCATGTCCAACTCGCAGCGGCCCCAAGGCCAACCGCAAGACCAGGATGGAGTGCGTGGCAGCTCTAACCAGAGCTCGCGCGGCAACTATCGTGGCGCACGTGGTGGCTCTGGTCAATTCCAAGGACAGCGTCGAGCCCCTTCCCAAAACCAGCCGGGCCAACAACCTCGACCTTCGAATGGCCAACAGCCTCAACGCAACCCTAGGCCTCAGACCACTGGCCCTCCTCAAGCATCTTAATCTGATATAGCTGGGAGAAATGTTGGCAACTGAGCGGACGTTGCCATATGGGTGATTGTTATTTCGCTTTCTCATTCTAGGGTGTCTTCGCTCAGGTGCCATGTGGTTGCATTGGGTTTCTTTATCCTATCTGCACATACGGAGTTGTTTCTTTCTTACGGTTACGGAGTCGCTCACCGGCGAATCGATACGAGATACCTGGTTTTCCTTTACGGGGCTAACGAATCGATGCATCGGCGCGAACGGAGTCTCTTGATCTGGACCGTTCTATATGTACTATATACCTTCGTCCGTCTGGTTCGAATTTTCTTGGTTCTACTCCTGTCGGTTGGCCGGACTTGCCGACTTATATCCTCTCGGCGGCTACAAGTCGCTCACCACCAGGGGCACTTTGCACCTCCGCGTTGTTCTTTTCTTACTATTCTCATTTCAGCAGCACCCAATGTCGGTTGTATCTTGCAAAAGTCTGGAATTTTTCTACATAGAGGTTCTCTGATCTCCCGAGGATCGCTTTTGTTCGACTGGATTATTGCCGACACTTGCTGCTTTTCCAAACGACAAAATTGGAGCTGTGTTGCTCCTTCACGCACTACCGCCTTCGGTCCCTCACGGGGGGTCATATCGACTCAGTCTTGAACGCCCCAAACATTTCCAGTTTCTACTCTCTCTCACAACGCTGGACCGCCTGGCATATTAGGTCCTATCACCCTCCCTTGAGGTTCCTCTTCCCACGGAAACCTCATTTTCGAGCGCTACTATTTTGGCTCACATCAATGTTGATCATCTTCGCACCTACACAGCTGCGAAGACATGGATCAGTCTGGCCCGTGTGTCTCAGCTTCCATTTCCGCAATCTTTCCGAATACGCGCGAGCTGAGGTCTCTTGTTAACCATCAGGCTGTACTCGCCGCGTTAGACCTCGCAATAAGAAGTGATGAGTCAGCGGTCCAGTAGAAGAAAAACATCAAAAACGAATATCTATTACCGATAAATCAGAAAAAACATCAAGGCATATTTGGGGCCTTATGGTGTGAAGACAGGGTGCACAAACAGTCTGTCTGGCGCTCGTTATAATCCATGTAGCTTCCGAATGACACTCTTTCTACCTTGGATCTTGTATTGTACCCTAATTGTGAAGTGGGTCCTGTCAGCTTGTGATGATCGAACACTTTTCAGGTATGTCAAACTTTTTTGCTCTAGCCATCTTCACGCCCGCTTCGAAGCAGACACAAATTGGCCAGTCCCGCAAAGGCAAAGTTTCACATCCCTTGGTCGTACAATCACACCTTTACGTTCAAGTGCGCGTCCAGACGATTGGCATCCCGCCACCGTCATTCACTTTCACTTGCTCATGCCCATCAATAGACATGTCCTTATTGCTACCCAATGAGTAGCTTTTGTGCGCACACAGTGTGAATTAAAGAGCGCTCCAGAATAGCGACCGCACTCTGGCATTGTGCGTCTATGCGGGCGAATACCACTGACACGACACAATGAGACAACTTCTTCTTATGGATTAATATAAGTCTAGACTTCCAATCCGAAAAATTTCACTCACTTTTCTTTTGCAATCCAGAGCACGAGATCACTGTTTTTGATCTTCAATCTCCCTGTCAACTCTTCGACACAACCATCTCATCCACTCTCTGAGATTTTGAGATTTTCGTAAAGACTTTCACATACCTAACAAACTCCCGATATTCTCCGTGCAGACAACAATGCGTCCCACACCCTCTCTACTCGCAATCACAACGGTGCTAGCCACCCTCTCCCTCGCCGCTCCCACCGGACAAGAAAAAAACACAACCACATCTCCTCCCTACAAGCTAGTCGATGACCTCTCTTACACAAACTTCTTCACCGCATTCGACTTCTTTTCCGGCCCAGATCCGACAGAGGGCTTCGTCCAGTACCAAGACCGTGAGGCCGCCATAGTCCAGAATCTTGTCGGCTTCCTCAACGACACTCAGTCCGTCTTCATGGGTGTCGACTACACGACCCAGGATCCGCGGGGCCGGGCTAGCGTCCGCCTGGAATCTAGAAAGACGTGGAATCAGGGACTGTTGGTGGCGGATATTAGACATATGCCCGCCAGTATTTGTGGGACGTGGCCGGCTTTCTGGCTGTTGTCAGGGAAGAACAAGGATGGCGGAGAGCAAGATGGCGAAGAACTCCCCTGGCCCACGGGCGGCGAAATCGATATCCTAGAGGGTGTAAACGACTACACAACCAATGCCGTAACCCTGCACACCTCCAAGGGCTGCATCGTCGACAACTCCACCACCGACACCACCCTCACCGGTTCTACAACCGACGCCTCCACCCCAATCTCCTTCACCGGCACCCTCAAAACAGAAAACTGCGACGTCGACGCACCGGGCCAGGTTCAAAACGCAGGCTGCTCCATTCACGCCCCTGCAACCCTTCCCCTTGACCCCCAGCTCCAACCGCCCCCATACACCCGCACCCCACTCCCTTCCTATGGCACACCCTTCAACACCGCCGGCGGCGGCATCTACGCCATGGAATGGACAAACTCCTCAATAAGTATCTGGTTCATCCCCCGCACCTCCACCTTCACCCCCTCCACCCACAACCTCCCCCTCCACCCCGACCCTTCCTCCTGGGGTCCCCCTCTCGCACACTTCTCCGGCTCTGGATGTCCCCTTTCCACTCGCTTCAAACATCTCAAGATCATATTTGATACGACGTTTTGCGGGCAGTGGGCTGGTCGCGAGTGGGAGCGCGGCGGGTGCCGGGCGAGCACGGGGGTGCGGACTTGTGAGGAGTATGTGTGGGCGCATCCGGGGGTGTTTGAGGAGGCGTATTGGGAGGTTGCGGGGTTGGGGTGGTTTCAGCGGGGGTGATGGTGGACGGTGTGATGGGTGGTTTTGGGTTACGGAGATGCTGGGGGGCGGGGGGGGGGGAGGTCTTCAATGAATTGATTATCTGATACGTCATAGCTGGAGTAATTTTCTGTTCCAGTAAACGAAAACAGCAATGTTGTTTCATAATGAACATGATCATGCCTTCACGAGTATCTACATAATTCAAAGTAAGCATCATTAGGGTCTTCTAAACTTCGGAAGCTGGAGAGACATGGATCTGCTTGCGCCTCAATTTGTATAGATCTACGTGTTATGATTGAACTACTGTTC